ACACCTCCCAAGCCAATTCATTTTCAGGGAAGCTATCCTGCTGCTTCAGGCAGGAAACAAATTGCCACTTCCCTCACCTACATTATGACAGAGTAGTATCTAGCCCAATGAAAGAGAAGATTTATGCTTCTGGCAAAAGAGGGCAGTGAGGCTCTGTGTCCATTTTCTGCCCTACCAGACAATGAGAAGGACTTGCACTGCTATGGCATCCACCCCCACACGCAAGGAGGGGGAGATGACAACAGTAGTGGCACACCTGCTCACACCTCCCAAGACAGAGGACGGCCTGCCAACACCTGGCAGCAGCAGATCTATTCCCAGAATGCCTGGCACTGAAGGTCCTCAAAGCCAAGTCCCCTGGGGAAAGTTTCTGTGAAAATTGACTCTGCAGGCAGTTTCCTTGAAAGGGGGATCTTTGGACCACTGCTGCACTCCTGAAAAGGTTATGCTCCGTTTCCTCACTGTCCAGATTACTAGAAGGAAGAGGAGAGTGCCAATGGGGGCAGGGAAAGGTACCCAAGGCACTGGATACACTTGGGTTGGGCAGAGGGGATGGACACGCTCCCAAGCCAATTCATTTTCAGGGAAGCTCTCCTGCTGCTTCAGGCAGAGGGGATGGACACAGAGGAAGAACGTAGCTGGGTGGACAGGAGGAGGATTGTTGTAAGAGAGGTTTCTCTGAACGCAACATAGAGGGAGTGCAAGCAAACATTCTTCAGTAGAGGTGGGAAGGAAGAGACTGGGACAGAAATGGCCAGTGTAGTTGGAAAAAATGATAAGAATGGACAACTATAGGAAGGAGTGGTCAGCTGGAGTGCAGGGATCCTACTGAATTTGGAGTTTACAGGGATTTGGGAATTGGGGCAGGAAGTGGAAGATCTGATGAGGGCAAAGCTGTAGAGTTGGGACAGATGAATAAAGTAAGCAGAGAAGAGTTCTAAACAGTCAGGCAGTGCAAGAAAGCCCCTTTATTATCTCAGAGCTGAGGACAATCCCCCCCCTTTCCATTTTTTCAGCGTGCTGCCTTTTTGCCAGTCATTTTTATTGGGTGACTGAGGATCATGAGCAGGATGCCTGCACAGGTGATCTCTCTGATCACAGAAACAAGTCTTTGGTGGAAATGTGGAAAAACAAGCGCCTTCAGAGACAGCCTCACAACTGAACATGAGTTTCTGTAACATGAATTGGTACTAGTGTTCTTTTGTTCACCATAGTAAATACTGTAATGGTAGTTTTTGAGGTGGTGGCTGTGTGAGTCTCTGCAAGCATATCAACAAGAAACACAAAACAAAAGCAAAAAAACAACCACCATACTGTGGCACTTTAAAGTGTTTTAATGTGACCTTTTGTGAAACATGTCCTTTTCTATGTCTGAAGAAGTAGACGTGTTCCACAAAAACTCACATTAAAATGTAGCAGTTTGCCTTTAAAGTGCCAAAGTGATGTCCTCTTTTTTTCTGGATTATTTTTTTGTTGACATAGTTGATAATGGCTCTTACTGGGAAAGTAACAAGAGTTTTGCTTGGGGGGGAGGGGTTGAGCTTCCCCTTACACTGCTAACCCAATTTAATTCTGCCTCATAGCCGCCTACAGTGAAGTTGAAAGGAAAGTAACAAGAGTTTTGCTTGGGGGGGGGATGAGCTTCCCCTTACACTGCTAACTCAATTTAATTCTACCTCATAGTCGCCTACAGTGAAGTTGAAGATCTGATCCTGACTATCCAAAATGTAACATTTAATTTAGCTCTATTTGCACAGAAGTTATTCATCCATTGTAAATTCCCAGTTAGTATCTGTACATGGTGCACCACTAATGAAACCATATTACTATAAAAAGGAACAGCACAATCCATTGTATGTATATTCAAAGACATATCCACACAACTTATTGGTGTTTACTTCCAACTTAAGCGTGATTAGTACTGGAGCTTTAGCACTGTCATGCTCTTACTGTTTTCATGCCATAGCAGAACTCTTCCATTATCTAAAGAAAACAAAAATCAGGAAGTCATTTCCTTTTCTTCTACTTCTGGAAATGTACAGAGGAAGAGAGGCCCATCTTCCTGTCGTCAGTTCTGTGTTTGGGAGCATGACCACTATGTTTTTGCAAGATACCCAAGAATAAGAATAAGAAAAGTTGGTTCCAAAAATCAAAAGGGCTGACTTGTTTTGTGTCCTGCAGAGCAAGAATGACAGTTGGGCTGTCTCTTGGATGCTGAAACAGTTACTGGCAGTGGAAGAGTTTATCATCTGTACTGCAGAGGAGAGGAATATTTTCATTTCTTACTTTAAACACTTGTATTCAAAAGTTAAGCATTTTGGAAGTTCCTTTAACAGAGAACCCAGAGTAGGAAAGCCATGGATTCTTAATGCACAGTTGTGGTTCCATCTAGTTTTAACCTGTGATCTCTTAACTGTGAAATGTTTGACTTCCTGTTTTTTCACGCAAACTGTAGCTTGCTATGGATGCACAGAAGAACTGCATTATCTTTTTATTAGCCACAGTTTCATCTCTCCCATTACCGCAGCATATTTTAACACTGGTATTGTTTTACTAAATTAGATAACAATACTAATCAGTATTTTACCTAGTAATATACTTAATTATCCATGTTCTTATTTATTAAATTTATTTTTAGCCAGAATGGGCAATTCATAACTCTCCAATCATTGTTGGGACTGGAGTTCCCATGAACCACTGAGGAAAGAGGAAACTTATAATCTAAAATTTGGACTGCAAGTTGACCACTTGTACTTTTAGCATAAAGGAAATCACCCACTTTTTAGTCATCCCAATCAATCCCTGTCTTCCACATCACACATATGGGTTCTATAGGTGCACAATCAAGAATGTTACATTATTATTATTATTTTTAAAAGAATAAACCTTCTTTACAATTCCAAAATTTTATCTTCAGATTTTATGTTACTGAAGAACTTTTTTTAAAAAAACAACATATATGATAGTTTTATAAGCACTTCAAGGACAAGAAATTGGAAATGTGCTGCTTAACTTTAATCATGGTACTACCAATAACTTTGGACAATCTCTAACGAATTCCATCTCTTATTCTGAGAAGAGGGAATATTATTTTTCCAGTGCAGGTTTAGGTCTGCCAACCACTAGAAAACCATTTGAGCAGAACTGATAGTGAAACAAGGGGGAAAAGTATGCTATACTATATTAGACTGATTTGAAACCATCCTTCAAAATGTGGCATACATCATTCATAGATATGCAGGTATCTGCTTAATTTGACCTTCCAGCTTTCTTTATCTAAAACAGGCAGGCAAAAGTTAAGAGCTCCAGCTCCTGCAACTGTTACTGTAAACTGTTTACCCTAAGAACCTTTTGTTAAATCCCTCTTAAGTTGAATATTCAACAATGAACAAGATGCTAAATTAATCCAATGTTTCAAAATATTTCCTAATGACTTTTTATCCCAGACATTGAAAAATGTTCAGAAAGGTAACCATGTTAGTCTGTATTAATGGCAACAACAAAACCCAAAAGCAAAATTAAGGTATTGTGGCACCTTTGAGAGAGATAAATTTATCTCGGGATGAACTTTCATAATATAATCCACTCCTTCAGAAACATACAGAAAGCTCACATAGAAATAAATGTGTTGATCTCAAACTTTTTGGAGGGTATTTTACTGGAGCTTGGAAAGTTGCTCTTCAAGAACTTGGTATTATAGTTCTGAAGCTCACCAAATTAGATACAATTATAGCTAATTTTTCTTGAGTGTTGTAATTATTTTCTGTTTCTCAAAAGTGGCTAAGATAGTTACTTTAGTGTTTAGTTACTTTGTAATTACTATATAAGTCATGTGGCATAACACTATTCTCCCATCTTGCCTGATCTCTACTTCACCAACCACAGAATTAGCATGAGGCTGCAATTTATATGGTGTTCCTTTTACTACTATTCAGTGAGGTCACAAAACTATCAGTACTAATTACAGTTGTACACTGCAAAGGGAATTGTTTTATTCCTTGTTAAACTACAGTTGTAATTATGTAATTAATGGAGTCAAATCTTTGTTACTGGAAAAGGGAATTCAATACAAATAACTTCCAGACGCTGGCCGGGCCTGTTATTATGTAGCACATTCTAAAGCTAGGTGTACAGTATGCCAACAACCTAATCACTGGTTATCCATGTTGGTACTTAATACTCCTTAATGAGGATCATGTGATGTCCAGTCAATTCCAACTCTTCATCGGGTATTCTAGGTAAGAGTACTCAGAACTGAGAGTGCTCTGGGTCCCTTCTTCTGGGAGTGCTCTGGGTCTGTGCCGCTTCCCCAAGGCTACACAGGCTGGATCTTCACCATAGTGGAGAACCAAATTCCAAACCTCTAGCTCCACAACTGAGTATCCATTATTCAGCCTACATTGTAAAAACCGAATATCTAGACACCAGTGGCCAGGCACAGATTCTTGCAAATCCCCCTGTGGAAATGCTACTGTAACATGCAAAGTGTTTTGTAAAAGCATTTCCCAGCATATTATGTGTGATTATTTAAAAACATCTTTGGTTTTTTTTTTTTTAATTTATGGATACCAGCATTAACAGAGACCCGTTATTTGAGCTATTTGAATAGATAAAATAAATATCTATAAAATTCTAGATAAACACACACTTCACTTGGAATTTCATCTAAAAACACTCTCACTTGACATCAATGTCTTCAGCCCTTCAGATTGCTGTTGTGTGTCTTAATCCTTAAATTGTTTTAAAGTACAGTGGTGCCTCGTTTACATTACTGTACTTGTAATGTGATGAGACCTCTCTATGCAAGGGTTAGAAATAATAGCCTGCCTTCATTAATTTTAGCAATACAGTACTTAACTGTGCAGACAGTATGTAAAAGTACACTACCATTAAGTGCATTAAGCAAAGCATATAGATCAGTTCCTAGACTATATATGGGCCTGTCTTGAAACACTGAACCCCTACTGTATAAAACGCCACCAAGTTGCTGCGAGAAGACCGCAACGCTCTGTGCGCACTCACAACACGCAGGATTTACAGGCGAGTAACGGTGCCGCCTCCTCTCCCACCCTCCCCAGCCGCGGAGCGACAACTTCTGTTCTTCCAGGCCTGCTTAGAGAAGGCAAAGCGAGGTCGGGCACCCTTAAAGGCCATGAGGGGGCAGATTGGGAACGGCTGCGTCTGGGACCCAGTCTGGCCTGCAGGAGGGCTGGGCTGGGCTCTTCTTGTAGGGTTCTAGGGAGAAGCCACACACACACACACACACACACCCTCGGGGGAAGCGCTGCGCCCCCTCCGGCCACGACCCTCGCTTAGCTCCTGAAGGGAGCCGAGGGGAAGAGTGGGTGGCCAGATGGAGCGGGCGGCAGGCGCGCGGGCTCCCTCTCGAAGGCGCCCGGCTTCTCCGCTTTCCGCGGCCGGGAAGTTCAGCTGGGTTCGCGGCGTTTTGGCGGGCCGGCCGGCGCCGGCGGGCTCTGCGCGCCTCCCTGGACGAAAGCTCCGCGGTGCGGGGCAAGTCCAGTGACGTCGCG